TGTAGGATTAGGGATATTTTTATTTTGTGTATGTGTGCTTATCTGTATTTTTTCCAAAATTAACACATATGATAAGTTACACAAAAAATAAGGTGTTTTAAAAAGTAGAAATTAATATAATGAGCTTTCTAATCATCTGGAAAAAAGGGGGGGGAGGCAAAGGAAAAGGTAAAAATATGTTGAGATCATTTGGCTAGATCTTAGGAGATTTTATTAGGATATGACATCCAGTACATATTGGGAAGCAGATAAAATCCTGAGGCAAAGGAAAAGGTAAAAATATGTTGAGATCATTTGGCTTGATCTTAGGAGATTTTATTAGGATATGACATCCAGTACATATTGGGAAGCAGATAAAATCCTGTCCAAGCTTGACTCTGAGAAACAAAAATTTTATAAGCTCAGTCCTGACACAGAAGGAGAGGTTCTCGATGCAGGCTTACTGAGGGACCTTGTTTCCTTTTATATTTCACGTAGACCGTGGCCAGGATCCTCTATGCCTCTGGTAAAACATCAAATATATTAATTTACTTAGATTTTCTATACTAGACACAAGAAATATGCATTACCCTTGTACGCAGGGTGGAAGTGCCCTGACTCAGTTGCCGGGACCCAGAAGTCCAAAGGAAAGCCATTATGCAGGAATGGGCTTCAATGCTATCAAGTGTTGACATTTTCTTCCTAGCAAAGAATGAGGATGAGGGGGCAGGATTGAAAGTTTTCTGCCTCTTTCCAGTTCACGTGAAAATCTCCAAGTGATTACTGATATTATTCCTCCTGGGAATGATGGTTTTAATGGTGTCAGCGATGATGGGGGTGAGAAATGGATGCTTGTGGCTATAGTACACTAGGAAGGGTAAGTTCTAGCTTTGGGCCTTGGAAGGCCTCTCCGGCAGCCTCCAGTTATTCAGTGGGCTGGCTCAGGTTGAATTAGAAATAAGGAGACCAGGCTGGCCAGTTAGCTCAGTTGGTTTTAGACTGCAGCTTTATAACACAAAGATCACGGGTTCAGATGTCTATACCGGCCAGCCGCCATAAAAAAAAGAAAAAGAAAAGAAGCCAAGGCCTCCACACATTCATTTTTGGCCAGGAAGTCCCCAAGCAGGCCCCACAGCAAGACTCTCAGCACACAGTAAGTGGTAATGGCCATCTTTAGAGCTCCCGAGTGCCCTGAAAAGGGTCTCACACCCAGGGTGCTAGGCTCCCTGTGCAGTCATGCTCTCCAAGCATCTCAATCCCTCCTGTACCATCTCCCTCTGTGCCTCCCTTGCCTTTGCATTTTGTCTGACTTCGTTCTGCCTTCCCCATGCCTGCACCCTGCCTATCCAAGAAGAGTGAAGCCTGGCTTTTCCCTTCTCCCCAGCCCAGCATCACTCCACCCTCCTTCACTCCCCTTTTCTCTCTCAAGGCCAAAATTAACCCCTCCCCTTGAACTCTGGATCCCTCCTCCTCTCTACAGGAACTTAGTGTCCCCTTTCCTTCTCTCCACTAGCAGATGCACTCAGGTTCCTCCTGACCTCAAGCATCTCTTCTCAGCCCTGCCTCCTAATCACACAACTCTGCTTTTTCTTTCTCTTCTCTTCCGAACTTCTGTCTCCTGTACCTTTTAACTTGCTTTGCCCTCTCACCATGAATTCTTCCTCGCCCTGGGTGGCCCACCTCCCAGAATTCTCTCCAAAATCTGTCTCTTTGCACTGGCTGTACTTTTGGATATTTTTCTGCCCAACTGGACAGTGTCTCATCTCTGTGTTCCCAGATTGCAGGAACAGTGTGGGCAGCAGTGAATATTTGATGGATGCACAGATAAACTTCCAGAGAGTTTGTAGCTCTGAGATATTGACCCTTGCTGAACAAATCTTGTCTCTCCACTCTACAGCTGGCCAAATAAAGACTGACCAGCCTGCTCCTTCAGACTCAGGCTCCACTGAACAAGATCTGCCAAACCCCTCAGCAGCTACCCGTGAACAGGCTAGGGTAGGGAAGGGATACTGGGAGGTAGAGGATGGCTTCCAGCAGATCCATAGCCAAGACCAATGCACAGAAGAGCCAACCAGTACTCCAGCGTGTTGTGATCTTGTGGATCCTCAACAGCCCTATTGTATTCCAGGTTCTCCAAGCCAGCACCCATGTTCCTGGATGACTCCTTTCGCAAGTGGGCTAGGATCCGGGAATTTGTGCCACCTTTTGGGATCAAAGGTCAAGGTATGTTGGGAACTCTGACCTACATTTACATATCATCCCCCAGACTGTCTCTCTGTCCTGCAGGACAGGGCTGTATCCTCACAAGTCCCCATGCAGGGGATACACCTGATCCATCCATCCTCCATTCTCAACGGTACTTTCTTTTTCTTCCTTTCTTCTTACTTCTTTAATGGAATATTTACTCAGAGTCCACCACTTTGCCAGAGACTAGTTATACAGCAGTGAGGTAGACAGATATGGCCCCCCTCCTCAAAAAGCTCTAGTCTAGTGGAGATACAGATACTCAGAGTACAGAACAGTAATAGTTTGGGTAAGGGACGTACAAGGAGCCATGAGACCACAAAAAAGAGCTGCCAGAAACATGAATGCTAGAGCATTGGGTATGATGGGGAAATTCCTAGAGAAAACAGAGGCCATCCCCTAGGAATGCCCCCAAGCTCCTCATGTTTTTCACCTTAACCTAGTCTCCCCTCTAATAATCCTTTCTTATCCCGTCCAAGGCTAACCATTCCCTTATACTCTCAGAAACTATCCCCTTCCATATCTTTAGAGACCTGACCCACACGGTTCCCTCCTAACTTAAGACTTTCCCATTCCTAATAGGTTAGCAGTTCTGCTTCTTTGTCAAATTCCTGTGCTATTTCATAGTATGGTGAGAAAGAGTTTGGGTTTTAGGGTCAGACATAAAGGGATGAGATTCCCATACTGCCTCTTTACTAGCTGTGACCTCGGACAAGTCACTTAACCTGTCTGTGCCTTAGTTTCTTCATCAGTTAAATGGAGAGAATAATACAATTGTGTAAGGTTGTGATCAGAATTCTGCCTCTTTACTAGCTGTGACCTCGGACAAGTCACTTAACCTGTCTGTGCTTTAGTTTCTTCATCAGTTAAATGGAGAGAATAATACAATTGTGTAAGGTTGTGATCAGAATTAAATTAAATAACTGTTACAGTGGTAATATCATCTGGCCAGCAGACTCAAAAATGCACAGAAGAGCCAGCCAGTACTCTACTCCTCGAGCCAACCCCTCCCTGAAAAGACAGTGGCCAGCAAAAATGTTGTTAAACTTTGACCTCAAACCTCCAAGGACAAATCTAATGGCTTGGGTTGACTATTTGAAAAACTCCTTTTTCCTGGGCTCAGGTAACCAAGCAGCCTACTCTTTTCTCTTAAATCCCCACTCAAGATTCTGCTTCTACAGCTACTATAGAAAGGCCAGGAAGGTCCAGTACAGAGCCCATCAGCCAGCAAGAAGAAATCACCTGGAAGTGTGTGCCCTTTCTACTAAGGTTCTCCTCCTAGAAAACAAAGCCCAATTCATATCCTTAACTTTGGCCAATTAGTAGCAATATTCTCTTCCTTAAAGGTGAAATTAGAGGTGGGAAGAGGAGAGAATCTGTAGCCTTCCGTGGAGCCCACCATAAGGTGTATCTGAAGGCGCTTTATATAGCACATTCCTTAAAGGTTTGTTTTCTTACCCTATTCTCACTCAACTTCTGGAAAGATGAGCTGAGCTGTACCTACTGCCTTCTTTTTCTCACCATTTACTCCTGAGGAATATCTCCCCCTCATACCCCACCCCAGCACTTCAGTGAAATTGCCCAGGGCCCCCGTGAAATCCAAAGGAAAGTTTTCAGTCCTTAACTCGACCTCTCTGCTGCATCTGACAGTATCTCCACCCCCTCTTTTAAACAATTATAAGTTTGTTATTTTTCATTTCAGAGACACCCTTTCTTTACATGAACTATTTCGGGCATATGAAAAATTATAAAGAATAATATAAGGAGCACTCATGTACCTTCCATCCAGCTTAAGAAATAAAACATGAGATACAGTTAAAGCTTGTGTGTGGCCATTGCCACTCCGTCCTCCTCCTTCCCCAGGAGACCATCGTCCCGGCTTTGGTGTTAGCATTCCTATGCCTTACGCATATACTTTTACTACGTAGCTGTATATCCATTAAATATATGGTATCGTTTTGCTTGTTTTTAAACTTTACAAATGTTATCATTGTATGTATGTGTGTGTGTGTCTTTTCAAACTGATTATTTTGCTAATGGTTTTTAGATTTATCCATATCCGTACATACAGCTCTAGGTCACTGACTTTTTTTTTTTTTTTTTTCTTTTACTGCTGTGTAGTATTCCATGTTCCACATTTAATCTATTTTCCTTTGGTGGACATTTAGGTTGCCTCCAACGTTTGCTATTACAAACACCTGCAGTGAACATTCTTGTACAAGTCTCCTTGAACAAATGTGTGAGTTTTTCAATGCTATACACCTAGGGAGTATAGCTATAGGATGTTAGTCTATGCATATCTACATCGTTACTTGATATTATGAAGATGCTCTCCATTGTGGTGGTACCAATCTACTTTATCTTTAGGTCATTATGTATATTTTCTCTTATCTTCCTATCAACTCTGCAGAGTAGGAGTTGCCATCACCATTTTAGAGATGAGGAAACTAAGTTCAAGGAAAGTAAGTGATTTATGTAAGGTCACAGAGCTCTTAAGTAGCAGAGCCAGGATTTGACTCCAAAGCCAATACCCTCAATAAACATTATACATTGTTTTATAATGCTGTCATTACACCAGAGTTTGAAAGGAGAGCAGGCATCATGGCCAAAGCCAGAGAGAGGCCACGAAGGTGGGGTCTGAATAGAGGTCACAAGGTCTGAGAGCACAGAGGTCACGGGGTCCTTGCTGAGAGCATCCTGAGTGGAGTGGAGGTGGGCAGATGCCAGGCTGCAGGGTGAAGAGGTGAGGAAGTACAGAGCCTGGCAAGGAGCAGGGTTAGAGATTGGCAGTGAGAAGGAGGAATCAAGGTCTGAGAGCACAGAGGTCACGGGGTCCTTGCTGAGAGCATCCTGAGTGGAGTGGAGGTGGGCAGATGCCAGGCTGCAGGGTGAAAAGGTGAGGAAGTACAGAGCCTGGCAAGGAGCAGGGTTAGAGATTGGCAGTGAGAAGGAGGAAGTGAGGGGAAGGTGGTATCAGAAAGTGAGGCAAGTGGTCTGCCTGGGTGAGCTCTTAAGTCATTGGTTGTCCCTTCTTCTGTTTCCTGGTGTCTGCTCGGTGGGGGTGCAGAGGTGAGCACAACATGGTCCCTGTCTCTGAGTAGGTACTTCCATTCTGGGGGAGACTGAGGTGCCCAGCTTCCAGGCAGGGCCCCAGCCTAGGGATGCATGTCCTAGAGCCTGACTCCAGAGCCTCAGAAAACCAGATGAGTCTCCCAAGAAAGGTGAAGAAGCCCTGGGGAAGAACCTGAACACCAGGGCTAGGACTGGCTCCTGGCAGAGATATGCCTGCCTGTTGTCCTGCCTCCATCTCCATTCTCAGGGAGAAAGTTAGGGCTGTGGTCCAGCCCAACCTTGCGTCTGGAGCTTCCTTTCCCTGCCTCCACCTTCACTCTAGCCCCAGGAACTTTGCCTTTGAGTAGGATTAGCAGCAAACATTTTGTAGGAACTTAAAGTGACCCTCTAACAGCAACCTTTCTCCTCTGTCCACAGACAATCTGATCAAAGCCATCTTGTCAGTCACCAAAGAGTACCGCCTGACCCCTGCCTTGGACAGGTGAGATGCTTGCTGCCCAGCCTCCTGTCCCTTGGCTACCTGGCATGTGCAGTGGTGTTGGGGCCCAGCTCTCCTTTCCTGGACACGGGCAGATTCTCCAGCATATCCACACGTGCACATACAGTACACACACTGGGGTGGGTAAAGCAGATAAGTGGACTTGCAACTCTATGGGCTGCTAGCTCTTGGCAACACATCCCAATCCTCAGACATCAGAGGTTTGAGGGTGAGGACTGAAGACACTGGGGCTGGGATCAGCCCAGCAATGGGACTGAGGGTCTGGGTGGTGGGGGCAAGGCTTAAGTCCAAGAGGCTGTGACAGCTCTGAAGCCAGCAGACCCTGGAGGGGGGAAGCCTCAGAACATAGAAGCAAAATGAGCAGCCCCCTCTGGCTACTGGGAAGCTGGGGACCTCTGAGTTGAAAATAATCTGAGCCTTGAGTCCTGGAGCCCCCAGTCCTATTCCCTTGTTCTTGCTTTCCTGGCATAGTATCAAGCCATGCCCACTTGTTCCTCTCCCCTGAAAGCTGTCCAAACCCCACTAATCCTTGGGGAACCTGTACCCTAGAATGCCATCTTAGAGCTTCTTCTCCCCACCTGGGGTTCATACACAAGCCTTTCCATGCATGCGTTTTCCTGAGGAAGTGTCGGGGCTAGGGATGTCGGGGTGTCCCAGGGCCAGCTATGCACAGTATGGTTCTGGCCTCCTCTCAAGAAATGCTGCCAGGAGTCCGTTGGTCTTCCAACTCTATCCCAGCCTGGTCCTGGCCAAGGGCATGGGGTCAAGGGCCAAAGGGGCAGGGGGAAAGAGACCTGGTGGACAGCTCTCCACTGAGGTCTCTGCCTCTCTCTCCACAGCCTCCGCTGCCGCCGCTGCATCATCGTGGGCAATGGAGGTGTCCTTGCCAACAAGTCTCTGGGGTCACGAATTGACGACTATGACATTGTGGTCAGGTGAGCTCCCCAGAGCAGCACCCTGGACACCTGAGTGTCCTAGCCCAAACCCTCATCTCTGAGCCCATTGAGAACTATCTGTCCAACTGGCTAGTTGGACCAGAGGTCAACAGAATCCTCAAGAACCCTGGGTTGGAGGGCTTTGGAACAGACTACTAGGTGGCACTGGGTGACCTAGACACCCATTCTTTGTAACTGGGGTGTTTTGGTATCATGGTGCTCTGACTGGCCTTCTCTCTGTAGACTGAACTCAGCACCAGTGAAAGGCTTTGAGAAGGATGTGGGCAGCAAAACCACACTGCGCATCACCTACCCCGAGGGCGCCATGCAACGGCCCGAGCAGTATGAGCGTGATTCTCTTTTTGTCCTCGCTGGCTTCAAGTGGCAGGACTTCAAGTGGTTGAAGTACATCGTCTACAAGGAGAGAGTGGTGAGCTCCCCTGGCACCAGCTCCTTGCCCTGGACCTTGCTCTGGCCTTCCCAGCTTCCAAGGCAGCCCCTCCCCCTGATCCCAGCAAAGAACAAGTAGGAACCTTCAAAAGAAGCGTTAAGGAAGGGCTGGCCAGTTAGTTCAGTTGGTTAGAGCACAGTGGTGATAACACCAAGGTCCAGGGTTCCATCCCTGTGCCAGCTAGCTGCCGAAAAAAACAAAAGAATAAGCATTAATCACCCAAAGCTGAAAGACACCAAATGCACCCAAGGGACAGAGAGGACAGGTCACTGGCCAGACTCTTGGAGTGCATACGCCTGACATGTTCTACCTGCCTCCAGATTCCCAGGTGCAGATCCTTTCTCAAACTTCTCTGGCCAGACCGCAACAGCCCCCAGGTGCCCTTCCCTGGCCTTAGATTCCCCCAGATAAGGAAAGCTCTTATCTCTAAGACAAGCCCCAGTATTATCTCAATCTTCATACTCTCCTGCCCTGACCTGGTAGCTTCCTCCCCAACCCTCTCCTACCCCTTTTGAGTTCTCTCTGACTCTGGCCTTATGGATCTTGCCCTCTTTCTCAGCCAGGGGAGGAAGGCCTTGTTTGGGCCCTGGGGCCATTCTACAGGGACAGCAGACCCCTCAACTTGAGGGTGCCAACTCCCAAACTCCTAAGTCCTGGCCATTCTCCACTTTGTACTGTTATCACTGACTTGCAGCTGGGCTCCCACCCTGCCATTGAGTCTGGTTCCACTCTCTGGGAATGATCAGACTCTGTTCTCATTGTTCTAGGCGGCAAAGGTCTGGGCCCATTTCTTTATGGAGCTTATGTGGCCAAGTAGGATCAGACTGCTCTTTAGCAGACCACCCACTGAGTCCCCTCCTGAGACCTCTATTTCCTAGCTCTAGGCCTAGTGACTCTCACCAGCTTGTCCAGGTTTATCCCCCCTCTTCCCTCAACGAGCTGTCAACAGCCACCCCAGGGGAGGGGTACTAGAGAGCTCAGGCTATTCATCTTCCAATACCCAAGCCTCTTAGCAGAGGAGAATGATGACAGATGGCCCTTTGCCTATGACGAGAAGCTAGTTGTTCTTTCTAGAGGTTTAGAGGAGAGTTGGGGGTGGAAACAGCTTGACCGGCCTGTGGGGGTCTCGGTGCAATTTAACTCCACAGCCCCTTCCTAAGCAAGGCCAAATGCAGGCAGTGTCAAGTAGGTAGCAAGCAAGAGAGAAGACAGAAGTCAGGTCCAGAAATTCAGGTAGGTGGGACAGTGGAGAAGGGGCGTCCACCTCAGAACCAGGCTGAATGAGACAGCTAGGCTCCCCTGGGTCCAGTCCAGCTCCCCAACGGGAAGGATGGGGCCAGGCAGCAGCGTGATCGTTTGGCTTCAGCCAGCCCCAGCTTCAAGCAGGCCCACTGCCCGTGCAAACCAGGCAGAGAATGGGGGCTGGGGAAGCACCCCACTCTTTTCGGAACCCTAGGGCCTGAGTCATTAGTGTCCTCAGAGCCCTACTCTTTGCCTTGAAGGCAAGAGAATTGGGGTCACTGGTAGGCACTGTTAAGGGAGAAATGGGGGGGAGGATAGGTCTGCCTTCATGAACTCCTGGGAGCCTAGGGGCTGCTTTCTCACCCTGGCTTCTGCCCACCTCCTCCTGCACGTCCTTTCCTCTGCCCATGGACAGAGGTCAAAGCCTCCCTCGGGGCAGGGCTCCTACAGGGCAGAGCCCTGATCCCACTGGTTTTTACCCTTTGGAGCCCAGCTACCATAAATTATGTGGAATTGATCTGGAATTGGCTCAAATACTGGTTTCTGCTTCCTGCTGGGCAGGCCAGGAAAAGCTAGGCAGTCCAAATAAGGAGGCCAGGCCAAAGGGGTGGGCCAGAGCCGGCTAGGTGGGCGTTGTCACATGTCTCTTACAAGGAAATCAAGGTCAGTTAATTCAAGGCTTTCACAGTTCATCCAACGGAGTAAGGGAAGAAAGAGGAAAGGAAGGAAGCCAGCTGGAGTTGGAGAACTGACCATGTCAGGCCACTCAGGAAGCAGGCAGCAGGGTCTTGCTTTTCCTGGGAAGACCAAGGAGCTCCCCACCTGGCCTGGCCCTGGGGCCAGACACATACAAGGTATAGAGCAGTGGGGTAGGGAAGTGTGGGGTGTGCTCAGCCCACACTCAGACTGTCCTGGCCATGCACAGGGACCTAGAGCCTGCCTCCTGTTGGGAGAACTTCTTCCCAGGCTGGATGGGGGTGAGCAGGAAGGGGAGAAAGGAGAAGGGGAGGAGTCCTCTGAAGTTCTATGGGCTTTCCCTGGCTCCAAAGTCAGAAATAATTTGGGCCTTTAGAGTGAGCTGCCAGAGGAAGCAGTGATGTCTATTGCCTCAGCTCTCCCAGCATCCAGAGGGGACCTGACTAGGTCCCTTAGCTGCCCCATAGGCTTCTTTTTAGTGCCCTTCTCTCCCCTACAGCCCAAGGCCAAGGCATTCCCAGGACCTCTTCCATGCTCTACTTCATTTCTCTGGCATCTGAGACCCAGGTGCATGTGAGACAGGCTGCTTCTCCCAGCCTCCTCCTGTCTGGTGCCCTGACACAGGCCTCCAGCCCCAGGCTTGTCCTGCCCCAGCCATGATCTTTCTAACCATGTAGCCTCTGGGCTTCTGGAGAGCGATATGTACCTGTCTGGAGACTCACCTGCAGAATTCTGGCAGGAGGTAGCTCTGTGTTCTGGAGCCAAGGCCTGGCTGGGCAGGGCTGGAACAGGTAGTAAGCCTCAGTCATGGCTGCTGTGTGCCACTCACTATGTGGATAGTCACTTATGGTGTGTAACTTTCTGGTATCCAGGAGTCCTGATGGGATATAGAGAGAGGAGAGAAGTGGGAAAGGAAGACCAAACAATCCAGAAAAGAGTCTGTGCCAGGGCTGGCTATACTTTCTTCATCCATATGACAGCTCTCCTCTTCATCATTTGTGGCCATTTGGTTCCTTGATTCACTAGACGGTAGGTAGCAAAGATAACTCTGAACAAGTTTCAAAGAGGCTTTTTATCTCCTAAATCCCAGGAGCCTAAACCAAGCCAGTAAGCAGGTGTGTGCTCAGGGCAGCTCTGAAGAGCACCAGGGTGTGGGCGAGTAGGGAAGCTGAGGCTGGCAGGGAGGGTGGAGCTGGGGACATGGAGGTGCAGCTGTACATAAGACCCTGGTGGGATGAACCTCCAGCTCCTGTGAAATTCTTTTCGGAGGCACATCTGCGATCGTCCCTTACGCACTCACGCACTTGCCAGGCATTAGTGACGTGTTTTCTGTGGGAATACAATAAACGATGTTCCCGACCTGAAGTCGCTCACGGTCTAGTGGGATAGACAGTCCCAAGTCTAGAGTTACAATGCAGTGTGGTAGGTGTTGTGATGGGGAGACGCCTGACGCAGCCCTGAGGGCAGGCAGGGAGCAACAGAGAAGACCTGCAGGCAATGCTCCTGAGCTGGACCCTGAAGGAAGAGTTAGGAGTGAGTCTGGTGAATAGCATCACAGGCAAAGGGAACAGCAGCAGGTGCTGCTGCAGTCCGGAAACTGTGAGTCACACTGTGTGAGAAGAGCACTGCACAGTGAAGGAGAAGTGTCAGAGCCTGCTGCCTGACATCTCAGGTGGCCTGTGAATCTTCCTCCTGGTGTTGGACCAAGGCTGGAGATGCCCATCCACTGTCTGGAGGAAGGAGCCCTGGGGCCCAGTGACGGGACTTGTGAGAGGCAGAGCTTCCCATCTGGTCCCTCAGGCCCCAACCTCCTGCTTCCGCCAGCTCCCCCACTGTGCCTCAGGATGCCTGATAAGGCCGAAGCCCCAGGGAGCTGCCTTCCGGTCCCCCTTTGCTGCCTTCTCTCCTGCTCCTGCATCAGAAAAGCTGGCCTCGCTTCTGAGCAGCCTCTGACAGTTCAGAGAGGCCCCGCCAGCTGATGTGGGTGTGGTTCCTGCCCAGCATGCGGATGAAAGAGGACAAGGGCTGGGGGTTGGTCCCTGGACAGTCTTGACACAGGCTTGACCTTCCAGCTGTAGTTCAGTCCCGGGGAGGGGGGGGGGCGGGCAGGATCTAAGAGGCAGGCCAGAGCCCACATTCATGCACAGGGGGACTAGGTCCCTGAATTTGGGAGTGACAACATGGTTTAAGAGGGGAAAACCACTTAGGCCTTGGAGTTAAACAACTTAGATTTAAATTTAGATTCTGTCACTTATTTGCTGGGTTACCTTAGGCAAGTTCCCTAGCCCCTCAGACTTAGTCTCACCTATCTAACAGGAGTAGTATTCCCACCTTTCAGGGTTGTTGTAAAAATTAAATAAGATGGGCCGGCCCGGTGGCGCACTGCTACAGTGCGCCGCTTGGGAGTGCGGCGGCGCTCCCGCCGAGGGTTCGGATCCCACATACAGACCGGTTCCCGCTCACTGGCTGAGCGAGGG